TTTGAACAATCATCTACCCTTTATTATTTTTACATTATTTATAATAGCTACTAGGGGCATCTGTTATTTTTGCCTGTCTTACATATCTTTCCTCGTTTTTAGATAATGGCATCCTGGTGTCTTTCCTCAGCTTTTACTCTATGTGGTTGCTCTGGAGCTGACAGGTTTGTCTCACACTGAGATTTTGAAAGCTCTCAAGACTTCAGCTGCAAATACTGGGAAAGAAACACTGTCTTTTTATAAGGACCCAGGTACTGAGAAAGCCATCTTGTTATCATTCAGAAAGAGCAAACCTCTTAATAAATCTAGTGTAGATCAAAGTGAGCTAACTAATTCCTTGCAATTTTCTTTCTGCTGCCTAAGTGAGCTGTAATTGTACTTTTAAGACTTGCAACTGGACAAGGGCTAAAAATACAAGAGCTCCTCTTAATTTGGTTCAGTTATAATACTTTAATATTATTGTAGTTCTGTGTATACCCTTTTTTTTTTTTACTGTCTCCCTAACCACACAGTGGCATTACTTTCTGGGAAGAAGTGAGGAGACTGCTAACAAACTGCTAAATTGCTCTGGTCTCCCTAGCTGCTAGACATCAGGAGTTGCATCTGAACCATAATGAGATATATCCTTGGATGAATGGTGCCAGAGGATGGTCAAAAAATGATTTTGCTGCTTTTCTTAACTCTGCCTAGATTATTCAACATACCAAACACAATCAATAAAAAAGATTATAAAAAGAGTAACTTGAATTCTTCCTAAATCTAGAAAAAAAAAAGCAGTATGATACACATAATGTTTTATTCTGGAAATAATAAAGACAAAACATGACTAGCTAGTACAATTTAGTGTTGTGCTGCTTGCTGAGATACTTTATAGAAGATTTCACTACTAAAGTCTATTTCCTCAAGTTAGCAGAAAAGTGTTAATCATGAAAATTAAGCCAAAGCTATAAATGACCTCTTTTACCTAGCACTTTGCTTTTACTTAAAGCTTTATAAGATTTCTTTCACAAATGTATATATTTTTTAATATACTGTGCAACTAGTGATGTATTATAAAAGATTATGAGGACCGAGGGCCGCCGGATCCTGAACAGACCCAGAGTGCAGGCCCGGCAAGTGAGTGAGACGACTGAGGCCGCGGGATCCTGAATAGACCCAGAGTGCAGGCCCGGCGAGTGGGTGAGAAGACCCGGGCCCGCTGGATCCTGAATAGACCCAGAGCCCAGGCCCTGTGAGTGAGTGAGACCACCCAGGGCCCGCAGATCTTCATTCGACCCAGAGTGCAGGCCCAG